TATAAAAGATGCGTTACTCAAATTTCAGTCTTCCTATTAACAAATTTTTTCATGTCCACACCAATTCACATTGATACTTCATTGTTATTACATATACATCATTTAATACATTCCAGTCACAATCCACATACATTATACTTTGGCAAGACTGCAATAGTTTTTGTTTTGACTCAATTATACAACAGATGAAACGAGATATATATAATACCTTACGCTACGTCGTACCAACACACAGCGTTGCAGGACAGGTTACAAGGCGTTCCATTTTCTTTAATGCTCTTATGTAAATATATTTGTCTTAATTTTTATGCCAATTTACTTAATGTACGTAAATTTCATGAATTTTATTATATTTTTAATAACTTATTTATATAATTATATGTATGTATTGAGGAAAACTAAATATTAATCAACATTTCAGAGAGAAGATGTATACCCTACTTTCAGTTCAGTAAGAACGTTTGAAGTGTACAAAACCATTAAAAAAATTGTCTAAATATAGTACATTTAGAATTGACGATAGCTGAAAATATTATTCAAAATTAACAAAATTCTAGGGTTGTATATATAATGCAGGTCATTCAGATGGCATTATTTACTCTATAGCCTGACAAAGTCAGTCTCCTTGTCACCTTATTCTCCTCTAGGCTCTAACTCCACCTTAGACTATTCTAACTCTTTCCCTCCTACCCCTGCTCCTCCAATTGAACCTATGCACTTTCCTATAATCTCCACTCGTAGGGTTGCTGGTGCGTTATCCAGGTTGGATGTGAGTAAGGCGCATGGACCGGACAATACCCGCTCGTGTTCTGAGGGAGTGTGCTGAAGTTTTATCCCGTGCTTGCTCGCCTTTCTCCTTTGCCTTAAAACCCAAACTTTTCCTTCTTCTTGGAAGCATGCCTTGGTTCAGCCCATCCCGAAGAAGGGTAGCCATTCTAATCCCTTTAACTATTGCCCCATTGCCCTAACTTCATCCTTCTCTAAGATTTTTAAAACTGTCTTGAACTCCCATTTTCTCCGTCACCTTGAACGCCATTCTCTTTTGTCGGATCACCAGTATGGCTTTCGCCAGGCGAGATCTACTGGTGATCTGCTCTCCTACTACACCCATCTTTGGTCATCCTCTCTTAGGGATTATTGGGAAACTTTCGTCGTGGCCCTCGGCATCTCCGAAGCATTTGACAGGGTATTGTGGGGTTGTAGTGGACTCCATCTCCTACAAGGGACGACTGAGCCCCCGCGCGCCTACCAGCCAGCGGTGCCGGTAGACTTACTCCCCAGTGCGGGCGCACAGCCGCACACGTAGCAACGCCAGGATCAGAGCGTTTCACACCTTACGCTTAAGCTGCTGTGATTGGCCCTCTCGCTACGCTCACCCCAAATCCTGATCCTCGTAAATTGTATAAATACGGCCATGGCTGGCCAGGGAAACAAAAGGCTACAAAACATTCATCTCCGAAAAACTTGCAAAACCCAGAAACTTGGTAATTAAATTAAAACGCTTCAGAAGCCTGCCAGCAAAAAACAAGTTAAAGTTATATAAAGCCTTTGTCCAATCCCGACTAGTATATCCACCAATTCCCCTACATGCAATAAAACAAACAAACACAAAGAAACTGCAGACAATTCAAAACTTAGCCCTAAGGGATGTATACAACATCAGATATCCTGACATAGTCACCAACCGTCAACTACACCAACGAGCGCAAATAGAACCCCTAAACGTTTACCTACACGAACACTCAAAAAGAATATGGACAAAGAGGGTGCCCAGAAATGTTGTGGGTGAGGTGGTGCTGCAAGGGGGTAATGGTGGGCAGACTGGTGGGGGCTATGGCGTCTACCCGTCTCCGTCGATGTTGCTTCGCCGTGTGGTTGCATAGAGCCTCACAGCGTCTAGCCTAAACACCAAAACGTTGATGGTACCAACAGGGGGTAGATACACTGTGCTGGGGCTGGGGCGTCTGAGGCAGGACGGGTGTGTTGGGGTCGGTAGGACGTGGTGCTTGGGGCAGGAAGAGGAGCAGCTGCATGCTTAGAGGAGCAGAGCTGCTCTAGGGTGTCTAACCTGTGGTGTAGGGATTGTAACTGTAGAGCCGATGAGAGCTGCCTCCGTGTGGATCAGCCAGTCTTCAATGTTGTGATTGAAGACTGGGAGAGTAATTAGTTTCTCCTCCATCCTGTGTGAGTGCGATTCTCCGGGGGTGACCATTTGTGGGGTTTCGTGATGTTGGTTCACACTCAGGATGGGTTGGAGAAAGGAAACTCACAATGCGCTCTCTGTGTATATATTGTATTGGATGTACAATGCAGCTTGATGCTGGGAAGTGGCAGTGTGGTTACAAGCGTGGAGTAGAGAGAGCTGGTTGGGGAGCGTGCTCAGAGGAGGTGTTGCTTGCTGGTGGCTGTAGGTAGAAGAAGGGCAGGTCACGGCGAGGTGAGGTCTTATAAAGCGGAGGTAGGCGTGGCTTGATAGTTGACCTCTGCTCTGTTAGGCGGCGCTGGTTACCGACCTTAGACCACGAGGCGTATGCTGGGGAATTCGAAGAGGGTCAGCTAGTCAGCGACAAACGGCAGTTGCAGGGGAGATATCCATTATAACACTGCCATTATTCAGGTGGGTGTCTCCAGGGCCGGATTTACCTACTTGTGGGCCCCAGGCCAAACTCATCAGTGGGCCCCAAAATTTATAGAAGGTTTCTTGAACTTTATTCTCTCTCTCTCTCTCTCTCTCTCTCTCTCTCTCTCTCCAGTATATATGTATGTATAGACAGATAGATAAATAGATAGATAGATAGATTGATGGTGGGACACGGACATTTAAAAAATGTATATACATTTTTTTATTATCGTATTTTATCTTACTTTCTTCATTTTTCTATAGGGCCTAGTCCGTGGCCCACCTGAGAACCACCCCATGGCCCACCTGTTGAAGACCACTGTGGGCCTATACTTATTGTACAGGGGCCCATATGGTTGTGAATATATTACATAATGAAATACTCGGTGTACACTTGAAACAAGGTTATACGCTGGCACGCTGCGCGACAAATTAGTTTCAGTGGGCCCCCAGATACCGGTGGGCCCTAGGCGAATGGCCTACTTGGCCTATTGGTAAATCCGGCCCTGGGTGTCTCATAATTAAGAAAAATGCTGTAACTGTAGGAAAAATTAACTCATTCACAAACTGCTTCATTCATCTTCTGTTAAATACCATGAAACATTCAAATTTTTCTTACAAAATTATTATGATGGATTTGTTTCATAAATGGGAAAAAAGACTGTGATTGTAAACTGAAAATATCGTAAGGTGAAAGTGACGGTAAACTGTTCACTGTCCTTGCTAATACAATATTAGCGTTACCTTTGGGTTAGGTAGGACATAAATTTTGGTGGGTTGGCCCGCAGAAAATTACCTAAATCGTAATGCGGCCCCTGACTTAGGAAAGGTTGCCCATACCTGGTGTATTATAATATAACATTCGTATGCCAGTAAACATTGGAAGTAGAAATTCACCATAAAATATTATCTTATGGAAATGAGTGCACGTTGATTTTCTTTAAAATTGTGACTATAATTTGTATAGAGTGAAAAACAAGTTTTAACTAGATGGAAAATATTTTAAGTTGTAGTACTTGTAGGTAGAGTTGCCAACTTAGCGACTTTGTAGCTAGATCTAGAGCTTTTTGTTTTTTTCTAGCGACATTTTAGAGCGATTTGCGACTTGTCGCAAATCTAGAGATATCCACAGAAATCTAGCGACTTTCTGGATACTTTTGGACTGTCCATGAAAACTCAGTTTTCCTAATTTCGAGCCATAATATATAGCAACGGGGTTACAGGGACAATAAATAATAAGAAAAGTTTAATACATTTGAACGGGTCGTGGTACAGAAGGAGGGTGTGGGGTTCAAGATGTTTGGTTCACACTCAGGATGGGATGGAGAAAGGAAACTCACAATGTGCTCTCTATATACATGTTGTATTGGATGTACAATGCAGCTTGGTGCTGGGAAGGCAGCATGGTTACAAGCGTGATGTAGAGAGAGCTGGTTGGTGAGGACGCTCAGAGAAGGACAGCTTGTGGGTCGCCATGCTCGCCAGCGGGAGAGAGGACCGCCAGGCAGGCGGAGGTGTTGCTGGCTGGTTGGTGTAGGTAGAAAGAGAGACAGATCACCACGAGGTCAGGTCTTAAATAGCGGGGGGTTGGCGTGGCTTAGTAGTTGACCCCCGCTCCGTGATGTATGGCGGCGCTGGTTGACCTAGACCACGAGGCATACACTGGGGAATTGGTGGGGTCGGCTAGGCAGCGACAAACAGCGTTTGTAGGGGAGAATTCCACTACAAGGGACACGTCTATTTCCTGATCACTTGATGTCAGCCCGTCCATGCATCTAACACCCTAAAATTGTGGTCAGAAGTGGCAAATTACAGAGATGCGACAGGTGAAAACCCTTACCATGATCTGGCTGAAATTGCACTCGCTGCCTTATCTCTTCCGCATTCAAACGCAGATGTAGAGCGCACATTTAGTAATATGAACTTTGTGAAATCAAAATTGCGCAACAAAATGAAACTATCGACATTAAAGGCAATTCTTACAATAAAGTATGGGTTAAAAAGACAGAACACCTGTTGTGCAAGTTATGAACTTCCTAGTGCTATTTTAAGAAAGATAGGGACTGTGGAGGCATACAGTTACAAGAGAACCTGAACCAAGCACTTCACATGCTTCCAGCTCTACAGTTGTTCACACTGCCGACGACTACGGAGAGGACTGGGATGCAATTACTATTGAATAATAGGTAAGTGTGCACATTAAACTTTAAAAAAAATAATATTTTTATTTTTACATAATGCATTTTATTTATACTCCGTCCATTATAGTCGGCATTATGAAAATATTATTTGCATCAAATTACTGAAGGGGAGGAATAATAGCTAGCGACTTTCCATGGAAGATTTAGCGACATTTAGCTACTTTTAGGTACCAGCCTAGCGACATTTGAAAATCCGAGTTGGCAACCCTGCTGTAGGTGTCTCTCAGTTGATCGGTTACAGTAGTCATATGATCGGACAAAACCTCCCCAGCTATGGTAAAGTTATCTTATTTATTATTGTTCTTGTGTGTGAAGAATTGCTACTCTGTGATTTCTTAAACTGTGCTGTAAAGGGAAAATAATATCGGTAGTATTTCTTAATCTATCTTATTTGTATTAGAAGTAAAACCAAATGTATACTTGGTAGGAGGTGGACACCAAAGGTAAACAACCCCCTGCTCATATACAGTAAGCAGTGTATGATATGGCTATGATGTCTTACAGTGAAGCTGGCGATAAATCAAAAAGACACTTCCATTGTTAACTTTTTCATTACCTTTACTAGGTCCGACTAATTACCCAAATGTAGCCGCAATGAAGTCAAATAATGGTCCTACATGAATAGATCTGGGTACCAATCACTTCTCGACTAGTATTTGGTGTCACGAAGTCACAAAAAATTGGTAAACTTAATTTATTCTGAGTTAATAGATCGTGTGCATGTACCGAGGGAGCGAGTAATTACCCAAATGTACCTGCAATGAAGTCAAATAATGGTCCTACATGAATAAATCGGACTGCCAATCACTTCTCGACTGGTATTTGGTGTCACGAAGTCACAAAAAATTGGTAAACTTAATTTATTCCGAGTTAATAGATCGAGTGCATGTACCTAACCTAACCTAACCTCGACTAGTATTTGGTGTCACGAAGTCACAAAAAATTGGTAAACTTAATTTAATCTGAGTTAATAGATCAAGTGCATGTACCTAACCTAACCTAACACAACTCAGATTAAAGTTTACCAATTTTTTGTGACTTTATGACACCAAATAATAATTGAGAAGTGATTCACAGCCCGATTTACGCTTGTACGACCATCATTTGACTTCATTGCGGCTACATTTGGGTAATTACTCGCTCCCTCGGTACATGCATGCGATCTATTAACTCAGATTAAAGTAAGTTTTCCAATTTTTTGACTTTGTGACACCAAATACTAGTCGAGAAGTGATTAGCAATCCGATTTATTCATGTAGGACCATTATTTGACTTCATTGCGGCTATATTTTGCTACATTTGGGTAATTAGTCGGACCGCCTTTACTTGGTTATCTTGGAATATTTATTGTTACAGAAAAGAGAGAATAACTCCAAATTGTTAATGGTGACATGTTAGGTCTAGGGACATATACTACAAAATAGTTGCACAATAGACAAACCTAGATTCTGAATCATCCAATCTACTTTAGGTAAATATGGTAAATATTCGTCCATTGGCTGTCCTCAGGTTTTGATACAAAAATATTGGTATTTTTGCGTTTAGATATTCCACATTCCACCACTAATCTATTATCATAATCTAATAAGACCTCTAATTATAAGATCATTTTCATCTATTACATTGCCGTCGCAAATGTATAATAATGGAGATAGCATATCCAAAAATTTCTCTATTTTCTTCCATTAATCTTACGTCATTATTGCCTGCCTCACCTCCAACACTGTGTGTCTCCTGCGTGTCTCCTTGATTAATCATCACGCGCATGCGTTCCCGTATACGTCACGCGACCAATCAAAAGCGTTTTTTTTTTAACCAATTAAAATAATTTGTGGTATTTTTGGCCCACTCAAAATAAATTTTTATTTTGGGTCTCATATTTCGAAATGCAACTTCATTTCCGACCATGGAAGTCTGTGATGGGTGTCACTTCAATTATATGGAGCTGATTGAGAATTTTGGGAAAAAAACGAAGAAACTAGCATTTTTTCGATTGCATGGTGTTCTTCCAATCTCAGTAAAGTGTCTTAAGTGCAAGACTGAATGTAAATATCGCAAGGAACAACATATGTGGCGTTGTGTAAGAATCTCAGAATCCAATGATGAGCAAGAACCAGTCCAATAAGGTAAGAAATAGGTTATTCCATCATATGGTGAGAGTCAGTTAGGTTAGGTTAGGTTTGGTTTTTGTTTTTCTAGTGTTTTTTTATGTATATTTTATTCGCTTAGCCATTAATTTTTTTCGAAAAACGTCCCACAAAAAAAAATCGAAAAAAAAACGGTCAATTTCCGACGAAAATGAAGGTCATATTCGGTATAAACACACACAAATACACTTGAAAAATATATTTTTTACTTTCTAACAGATTGGGAGGTGGAAGTGCAAATTTACCAAAATATATTTTTTGGTGTATGTGTTTTACTCAAATCTGACTTCATTTCTGGTGCAAATTAGCAGTTTCTGAAAAGGAAATGAAAATTTTCATTTGAAACAAACCGCTAATTTGCACCGAAATGGCAATCAGGTTTGAGTAAAACACCATAAAACACCAAAAAATCCCTAACTTAGCCTAACCTAACCTTTTTTTTGAGCTTACCTGTTACTGTGGTTGAGGATACAGCTGGGCAATGTGGTATGCTTATGGTTACAGACAAAAGAATTTCTGTCTTCTTAAAAGTAAACAATTTCCACCCGTAGGGCACAGTCTTCATTTTTGGTAGGACACTCTGATCTTGTAAAATTTGTTTGCTTTGCTATTGTTCTGATTAACTCGGTGAATAACAGCTAGATATGGGAGAGAGCACTTTTCGCACGCCATCACGAGCCTTCAAAATGGCTTCTTTAAAATGAATGGCCAGCCAAATCACATGACACGATACTTGAAGATCATTGGTTGTCATGTTGCAAAGAGGAGGAGGAGAGGACGAGAAAAGTGACCGGTAACATGGCGGGTACAGAAATTTGTGAGATGCTCCATTAATATTGATTTGCACCAGAGATGATATGAAGAATTTTTTATTTTTTTTAGTTTGTGTATGTAACAATGAAAATTGGAAACCTGCAGACAGCAAATGGTCGAATATTAACCAATGCAAATATGACCTTAATTGACGTTGGAAATTAGCAGTAGTTGAGATATTAAAAAGAAATAAGTGGAAGGTCAAACAAAGTAAAAAACTAAAATTTTACCTTTTAAAAGAGGCAACATTTACTAGAATGTAATGGAACCTGACCTAACCAACCAAAGAAACCTTCCTAACCTTACCTAACTTCCTAGCGTACTTTCACGTCCACAAAAAACGTAAAGTGACACCATGATGCTTCAACGAAGTTGCTTTCATTGGTACCAGATATCAAAATAAGTACTGTACAGTGCAGTACTTTCTGTTTAATATGGCTAGGAAGTTAGGTAAGGTTAGGTAGGTTTCTTTAGTTGGTTAGGTCAGGTTCTATTAGGCTCTAGTAAGTGTCATGGTAAATATTTAGAAGTTGCCAACACCTCCTTACATACAGAAATTGAGTCTTGTACAGTAATTCCTTGTTTAACGTTGTCCCGCTTCAAGTTATTTCGGTAGTATGTCGCTAAACTTTAGAGACCAAAAATTCGTTTAACATCCCAGTGATCGGATACTACCTTGTTATGCGTCGTCAGGGACTACTTTCTATGGCGCATCACCCGCTCTCATCAGGCCGCGCTACGCTGTCCCTTTCTCGGTGCACTGCCCTCACTCGCGGAACGTCACAGCGTCCCCAAGCGACGCCGAGCCAGTCTTTGTTATGACGTGATTAAGTGCTTTTGCTCTAAAACTGTACTCTAGCCATTCGAAATGGCTTCCAAGCACTCAAGTGCTACTGATGCTAGTAAAGTGAAGAGGCAACATAAGACCTTTCCCTGGCTGCGAAAATGGATGTATTAGCCTGTTTTGAAAAAGGGGAATGTGCTGTGGACATAGCTGCTTTGCTTGGTCTAGCCCCCACAATGGTGAGTACTATCCGGACCAACGCTGACAAGATTAAGGTTAGTGCTGGAAGTGGTTCTTCTCTGAGTGCATCTAAGACAACTCGTACTAGAAGCACTGTGATAGAGAAGGTGGAAAAGTTGCTGGCAATGTGGATGGAGGACCAGAATCAACGTAATGCCCCTGTGAACCTTATGGTTATCCAGTATAAGGCCAGATCCTTGTTTGAGAACTTAAAGGCAGAAGAGGGCAAAGGATCGAAGGAAGAGATATTTACGGCCAGCCGAGGATGGTTTCAACGATTTAAGCATCAGTATAACTTCCACAACATAAAGATGACTGAATGGTGTATTGGGTAAACTGTGGTCTGAGTGTTTCAACAGTTTTATGGGATTCGCAGACTTAGTCCCAGCTGTGAATAGGGATATCCTCAGCTTGGCTAGACAGGCAGGCTTTGATGAGCTGGAAGCAGAGGATATTGAGGACGTCCTGGCATCCCATACGCAAGAGCTCACCAATGAGGATTTGCAACAATTAACAGAACACAGTCCCGTTAAAGACGACAATGATGAAGAAGAACCTCAACGAACGCTAACTTCCAAGAGGATGGCAGAAGTGTTCATCATGATCCAGCAAGGAATTTAAATCCTTGTAGATGACAACCCAAATAGAGAACGTAGCTCAAAGATTCAACGCAGCAATGGTGAAAGTCTTGTAGTATTTCCCCAGGCTTTTACAAAGAAATTGACTGCCTGGCTAATGTTATAATTTTTCCAGAAGGCAGTAACAGTCATTGTGGAGGTTGAAGGTACGCCAGGTGGAGCAGGGATGGCGGGGGTTGCAGGTGAGCCAGGAGGAGTGGAGACGGAGGCTGTGAGTGGGCCAGGCACAGTAGCGGAGGCGACGAGGGGTGGACCCTCCTCCTCCTCGCTACTGCTCACAGTTTCAGCAATTTCCTTCACTTCTTCTTGCTTATCAGTTGCCTTCCTCATCTTGTCATGGATATATTTGTAGTACAACAACTTTACATTTGCTATGATTTCTTGGTCTAGTGGCTGTATTTTGGAGGTTGCATTTGGTGGTAAAAGCACAACCTCAACACTAAGGTGACGTCCCACTAGAAATCGTGCATGACTTGGGGCATTGTCTAGAAAGAGCACCACTTTGAAGGATACATTCTTCTTCCGGCAGTATTCTTTGGCATCCTTAACAAAACAATCATCAAACCACTTCTTTGATAACTCCGTGGACATGCAGCCTTTATTTGTCTTTTCCCAGTAGACATTCAGTTTGGACATATCACATCCCTTGTAAGC